AGTGAAGGATTGATAGAGTTCTGTCTATGATATTGAAATGGTATCTTAATCTGGCAGGCATAAACTAAAGGTTGGTCATGATTGCCCACTCAGGAAAAGGGAGTAAAATGGAAAAAGGCAGCCTTAAGGTCTTGTTGACCAGATTAAATTAATTTACTTAGGCATCACAATATAATCCTTTCTTAAAAATAGTGTTTTGAAATACAATCACAAATACTGTACAAACAGTATGGAAATACTTTATTTTATCTCTGATTTTGCAATATACAGGCTCTGAGAAGACAGGATTTTTCTATCTTTACTTGCCTTGTACTTTGGAAAGACTGAAGAATAAAGCATATATGGCTGCTAATAGTATATGGTAGTTACAATTTTAGTTAACAATAACTTTAATCAGAAGCATTACAGTGCAGTGGAGGTAGAGAAATAGGTAATGATCACGTTACACAAGGAGAGAATTTTCTTTGTCTAGCCATCATCCCATAAAACATACCTATTTTGTAAACAAGAATGTTACAAAAAATGTCTTCAACCAATGCCAGTAGAAGATGTTTTCCTAACTATGAAGAAAAAAGTAGTGATGGGAGAGTTTTAGAAAGCACAACTGCCTGTTCTACCATTTATTAATTTATAGTAAATGAAGATATGAACCACGTGAAATTTTTGGACTAAAAATGGCAATCAGTGAGTCACTTTAATTAAAGTTAGAATCCAGATTAGCATTCAGATAAACAGATGAGTATTTATTTACAAATAAATCCTAATGAATTCAAAAGAGTATATATTTTATAATTTCAGATAAGCATGTCTCAGAGCTCCATTTATGGCAAGAGAACTTCAGATATTTTTGTTTTTTTGTAGCCAAACTGCAGCTGACTCTCTTTTTATAAATCTATATAAATAAAAATTTAAATGTTCGTTTGTTCAAAATCTTAAATCTCCGAAAGTTCTTCACCGATTGCTTTGAAATTTTGACACAACGTTGCATTCGAATATGCGCGTGTTTTTATATACCCATATTATATAGATGTCACATCTGTGACAGGTAAAACATGCTTTTTTGAAAAACAGCGCCATCTGTTGGACGTAAAAGCAATACACACTTTTACCAGACTAAGCCACAGCAACGCGTGGCCGGGTACAGCTATGTGTTATAAAAATAAAGATTTGAATTTGTACTCTTTCCATATCCCAAACACATTCTTGAAAGATTTAACAGAACACCCATCTTTCAGGATTCCAAAATTGTTACCTTTGTAGTTGTTTTCTTTTCAGATACAGGGAAAAGGACTGCCCAGATGAAGATATTTTTACAAGTTATTGTCATATCAGAAAATACATTTAAAAACAAAGTAAAACAATATATGAAATGTGTGTATTACACCAATACAGAACTCTTATTTCTGTGTATTTTCCCATTCAGGTTGACATGTAGATTTTATTTCTATGATTAGCTTTGATTTATAATCACGGTTTGTGTGGAGAGGAGGTTCCTACAACACTTATATTTGCGACTTGGGGAAAAAAATCGGGCAATTAGGGGAAAGAATATTTCAATTTTAATATCTGATAGAATTTTAGTTTAATTGGCTTCTGAACACAATAATGTAGGATTGAATTGAAAGGATTGAAATGTTTATCTGTGATGACTTTTTCACTGATATGGTAATACTAATTGAGTATTTTAAGCCTTTTCCAGGCAGATCCAAATCTTCCTAAAACCCTTCTTTAAGATTCCCAGTGAGCTTTTTAAACAAGTGAGACATCTTGTTCCTGGAGTAGTTTTGATTTCAGAGTCTTGGGCTTTGTAATCCAATCCAATCTGCCTAGAAAAAATGCCCACTCGTATAAAGGAAAGCACTGCTCTTATGTGTGGAGTAGAAGAATATTTAGAGGGCATTTGCAAGAGGGCTGTAATTTTAATGGGTCCACCTAATTTTTAGACATATCTCTCCAGTAGAGCATCAATGACTTATTATCGACTTCTCTTTCCAGGGCAGGCAAATAGCCCTTGCTGGCAATGCTTCTCTGTTCTGTATTTGGTGCACCATATACTTGCTTTCCATCTCTGTAGACTCTTGCATTTGCTTCAGTCTCTTATTTCTACTCTTTGTGATTCTACTTCCTCTTTACACTTTTCTTTTAATGTATTTATTCCTGAAGTAATGACCCAACTCACCCTTAACATTTCATATGAATTGCTTACAAATAGACTCCAGTAACTGAAACTAGCTCTAGCCAATGCTTGCTTGTCTATTGCATTGTGTCACAAATAGGTCTTTTTACTGTTTCTCCAAGCCAAGCCAATTTTCTGCCTCTGACATGGGCTTTGATACTTCTAACTGAAAACTACAATCTGGAGTTACCTATAACCCCATGAATGACAATGAAGAAATCCTCATTCAAAGTATCATGTATATGTCTTATTCAGGGCCTTTTGGCAATAGATTGTGATTAAGAAACACAGATTTGAGAAATATAGTTTTAGGTTCTTACAGTATTTGACAGTACTGGTTCTGCCATTAGACATAATTACAGTTGTTGAATTTAAATGATTTCATATCTGTTTTTTCTCTGCCACTGTCTTGCCATTTACACCCAAGCTTGTGCTTTTAAAAAATGAATAAATAGCAGCACTAGTTTATCCAGAGTGGACAGGCAAAAGTGCAAATGAATCTTTTCAGATCTTCTGTATCTTTAATTAAATGTTTACTGATTGCAGAATCTGCTTATTTTATTGTCTTGTTGAGAGCTAAGGTGGACCTAAATAACTAGCATTTAGGAACTATCTGGTGATCACCCCGTAAAATAATTTGCCTGATTACATCTTATCAACTATTTGTTATTCATGATATACAAATTTATATATGCCTTTTCACTTTTATTTTTCAATTTAAATAATAAATAAAACTACTTTGACAGATAAAAATGAAATGCAAAATCTAGTAAAACTGTCTATTTTCAGCATCTGTTATAACAGGTGACAACCTTTACAGATATAAGACACTACGTGTGGCATCTTAATATTCTTTGTCGAGGAAAAAACAGGTGTTCCATTTCTAACACGATTGGCAGTTTATACATTTCTACCTTACTGGTCTTATCTTCCATTTTTTACAGTGCTGAATTGATCAATTATGTTTGAAATGATATTATTCCTAGAAGTTTTGTTTTTAAAATCCAGTTAAAGATAAATTGTCTACTAAAGACACTTTACATTTTTATTCTGTTCCTATTACTTTGGTTTTGGTCATTTTCCCCCAATTTAATTTTTCCATAATCTAATCATCACCATTATCATCTGCATAGATAAATATGATAAGAAATAATATCATGAGTACAAAATACTAATTTTTATAATATGACTAATAATAGAAGTCAACATTCAATGAATTTACTTTTCAAAACAAGAATAAAATAGAAGCATGTAGAAGAGTGAATATAATTAAAATTATTGTTGTACATCACTTTATTTTCAAGTCAATCATATTTATATAATGCAGAACCCAATATATTTTTGTATTCAGTTCTTGAATCTTTCTTATTCTTAATTCTCTGGCAATTGTACCTAATAGTGAGCGAGGTTGTAAAATTTCATATATTTATTAGTATATAAATGCAATTGCTTCCCATATTTAGTTACATACTCATTACATTCATCTACATTATATAAAGCAAATTGCATAATTATATATAATCAATAGCTCTGTACTCTATTCTTTGACTTTTAGAGATGCTACAAAAAGATAAGAACACAAACATAATAATCTTAAAGATATTTACACAGCCTGCTTCTTAGAGTTCTCTTATCTGTAGAGGATACTTTTATTTACATCTTTGCTAGTTAATTAATATGTAATGGTACTAAACACCAACATATGAAGATTAATAACAAGATACAGTTTTGTCAGGTTTTTTTTTTTATGACCATTATCTGACTTTTATTTTGACTTTCAGATTTTACTCCCTTGGATTCTCCTTAGATGTAGGAGTCTTAATTCTACCAGAAGAAAGTTCCCAGGTAAGGCTGTAGGCAGATAAGCCATATCTTTTGGTAAAATACTGTAGTTGATTGATAGAGTATGCAGAACCTAGATTCAACAAATTGCTTTTCCAGAGAGAGCTGAGAAAAAATATCTGCGAAAATGACAAATTGTTCCTAGGCACAATAAACAATACTAAATTGTATACTTTATAACTTCTCAATATATGCTTTAGCTTCCCTTGAATTATTTCTGGACAATGAATTGGTCAATTGAAAGCACAGCCTCAAATAATTATTATCACCAGATATTGATCTTTACCCTGTGCAGTAGCCATTCATTAAGGGTAGATTTCCGATTCCCTTGTGCTTCCAGATTTACTTGAAAAACAAATATCTTTGGATAACTAGGTTACATCAGATAAATAAGACAGCTTCCTGCCAATTTCATTTAATGAGATAAATAATTTTATTTATTTATTTGTGTCCTGCATTTATTATATTTACAAATAACTCAAGGCAATGAATATATCCAACGTACCTTCCTCCTCCTATTTTCCCCACAACAACCCTGTGAGTTGAGTTGGACTGAGAGAGGTCACCCAGCCGGTTTTTCATGGCTAAGTTGGGACTTGAACTCACAGTCTTTTGCTTTCTAGCCTGGTGCCTTAGCCACTAGATTAAATTGGCTCTCAATAATCTATTCCTTTTAGTTTGAATTTGGCAACACTTATGTATCATATTGATGAATACAGTGGCTCTGAAATATATTGTCACATTTCATTTTTTAAAAGGCTTATTTTTACAAATTGTCTCAGAAATGGTATATATTCTTTGAAGGCAGAAATATGCCATCTATTGCCTAATATATAAAATATTTATCCATACAGCATTTGCATTTCACTCATTAGAATTCCTTTCTAATCAATGATTCATAAACAATATGGTACTTATTGAACTAGAAATAAAATCATATCCATAAATGCAATAATAGAGATTAAACTCTATAAATACTGACCTTGTTTCTTTCAACCCTTCTTTCTGAATTACTTCCAATATTTGCTTTGCAGTCATTGGTGAATTGGGATGCTTTTCCAGTGCCTAAAAAGAAAATTTGCAAAAGAAGGTATAGTTATCTATTTACAGTTTAATTATTGTGGTATTATGTATTTAATAGGTTTTTTTTAAAAAAATGAAAAACTCTACATTTTTTGTTAATCACTATAAAAGTAGCCGCAGCTTACAGCAGAGTTAGATTGTTAAATCTATTTGTATCTTTTATTATTTAATATTATTTAATTAAATTTAAATAATTAAATTTATTAATTAAATGTTAAATATTACTTAACAATTTATTTTCATATCACTGTATCATTTTTTTTCGGTGTTTATTCTACTGTTCCTTTATAATTGTTATATTTGCACTTCTTTTCATTTCTCGATTTTTATTGTTGTAAGCCACCTAGAGTAGCCCCACAGTGAGATAGGTGCCAAATAAATTTAAATAATAAATAAATAATCAGGGGAAGCATCTTAATGGATTGCACAGAAAGATTCTTCACACAGCAGATAATAAAATATGAAATTTATTTATCATTACAAGACACAATTTATATTATTTATATTTATAACATAATATATATTATCAAACTCAATAATTTATCTATATTTATATGTTTTATATACATATAAAATATTTATATTTATCTATTTCTATATATGAGTAAAAATAATTCAGTCCTGAAATATACATTCAGGACATGCAACATATAAGGCAGTCTTTGACTGCATTATTTCTCATTCAACATTCCAGGGACGGATAGATGGATGGGAAGGAGGGATGGAGGAACCCTGAGCACCCTTCCCAGGCCATGCCATCACTCTCTTCACACTTCCCTAACTTGTGCTACTGGAAATCTGAATTTCTTTTTTGAAAATCACTCCCTATTTTGGATTCTGAAGTCATTTTAACATATTTTAGTGACAGAATGTGAAATAAAGTAGCAGGCAGTGGTGAGCTGAAGTCTGCTCCTACCAGCTCACAAGAACAAATTATTAAATTTCCTAGAATTTTGCAGATTAATTGAAAGCAAAGCTGACTTGGGTAAGAGTATTATGAGAGCTGAGAGCAAGGCTTATCAGTCGCCTAATGGTGAAGCAACAACAATGTAGGAAATACATGGGATTTCTGACATGGATCACTCTCCCTACTACCTAGCTGCTTCCCTGCTTATGCTTCTTGATACTGGGCTAGATTAGATTTCCCCAGAGTTATAGTACTCAGAAATGCTGGGTGCAAAGTTTGAAGTAGCTTGCAAATTCATGGTCACCATGGACCCCACCCAAATTATTGAGGGTCTGACTCACAGTGGTGATTGTTATGTTGTATATATTTTTGTCTTTGGACAGAGATGTGGTCTGAAGTTGGGGGATGTTACAGTACTTCTCATAGATTGATCATTCTGATTGCTTTTTAAACATTCCATAGCTACTCCCTTTGACAGGAAGGTAGGACTCATTTGATTCCTTTGCTCCAGGCACCTGAAGGACTCTACAGGGTTCAGAGGGCACTTGGGGAGGTTTCTGAAGATAAGGTACACAGTTCAACTGGGGTCTTAGTCACTTCTTGTGATGAGTGAGCAGAGGCAGACTTGGGTCAGATTGTTTCTAAGACCTCTCTACACATAGTTTCTGGAAGATTGTCAAAGGAACTTTGGGAGATGAAACAGCAGATATCTAGAGCAGTGGTTCTCAACCTGTGGGTCGGGACCCCATTTGGGGTCGATTGACCATTTCATGGGGGTCGCCAAGCAAGGCTGTCCGCCATTTTTTTTGTCTGCCATTTTTTTGTCTGCCATTTTTCCCCCTTTTCCGGCGGGCGCCTTACCTCCCTTGGGCTGGGCCAGCTGGTGGTCGGCCTGCTCCGTCTCTGCCGCTTGCCAGCTACGCCTCGGCCGGCGCAGGGGGCGGAACCACGCATGTGCGGCGCTCCCAGGCAGGGAAAGTCCTCGACTTACGACCGGTTGGGTAGTCCTCGACTTACAACCGGTTTAGTCCTCGACTTACGACCGGTTTAGTCCTCGACTTACGACCGGTTTAGTCCTCGACTTACGACCGGTTGGGGTCGCGGCATTAAAAAGGTTGAGAACCACTGATCTAGAGTATCCTTGGAAGAAGACAAGGAAAGAATCTTACCAAACACAAGAGGCTTTGTTAAGGTCTGCATTGTGATAAAAGCAGCAAAATATAGTTATTTTTTCCACTCTGATTGCGTCTATGGATTGCCATCCAGTGACCTTCTGCACCCGAGTTCTAAAGATCTTTCTTCCCTCCTTCAACACCCCACCATTGTCAAGAAGACTTGTGAGCCTTTCTTGAGTGATTGCTTTTGGTTGTTGAATTAACTCTGATGTGATGTTTTATTATATTGACATATATTTTAATGTTTGTATTTGCTGATTTTATTCATTGTGTATCTGTCCTGAGATGCGTATTGATTGGACAGCTATATTAAATATAAATAAACAAACCTTGTTCATGAACCTATATTTAATATTAATGCATTCAAACAACATACATGCTCTGTATGAGAAGAGCAAATTTAATTGAGGCTTGCAAAGCACATTCTCATAATGGATCATAAATCATTAATGATTTAGTAATGTAATTATTAGATTACTAATATATCCAGTCTTACTAATACAAAGTAACATGAGCCAAGTGATATTCATATAATTTTAAATCATATGTTTTGGATTCTAAGGATCTGATATTCAGTCTGTAGTGTCTCTTTTTCTTTCTTTAAAAAAAGAATTGCAATTCACTGTAAAGTGCTTCACTTGAGAATCTGAATAATTGTTGTTTCCACCTCCTTGAGCAGAGAAAACATGTTATTTTTTCACAGAGAAGGAGTAAAAAATCCTTCATTCTCTCCGTTACTCCTTTTTGCATGAAGAGAGGACTGCAGGATAGTGAGGATTCAAGGGCAAGTCATCATATTTTTGAGCTCATCTCAAAATATGAATCTGTTTGATGATGATGATGATGATGATGATGATGATGATGATGATGATGATGATGATGATGATGATGATGGAAGGGACCTTGGAGGTCTTCCAGTCCAACCCCCTGCTCAGGCAGGAAACCACATACCATTTCAGACAAATGGTTGTCCAGTCTCTTCTTAAAAACTTCCAGTGTTGGAGCATTCACAATGTCTGGAAGCAGGTTGTTCCACTGATTAATTTCCTAAATGTCAGGAAATGTCTCCTTAGTTCTAGGTTGCTTCTCTCTTTGATTAGTTTCCATCCATTGCTTCTTGTCTTGCCTTCAGGTGCTTTGGAGAATAGCTTGACTCTCTCTTCTTTGTGGCAACCCCTGAGATATTGGAACACTACTATCATGTCCCCCCTCGTCCTTCTCTTCATTAAACTAGACATACCCAATTCCAGCAACCTTTGCTTATATGTTTTAGCCTCCAGTCCCCTAATCATCTTTATAGCTCATCTCTATACTCTTTCTAGAGTCTCAACATCTTTTTTACATTGTGGTGACCAAAACTGGATGCAGTATTCCAAGTGTGGCCTTACCAAGGCATTGTAAAGTGATATTAACACGTCACATAATCTTGATTCTATCCCTCTGTTAATGCAGCCTAGCACTGTGTTGACTTTTTTGGCAGCTGCAGCACACTGCTGGCTCATATTTAAGTGATTGTCCACTAGGACTCCGAGATCCCTCTCACAGTTACTACTATTGAGCAAGGTACCCCCTATACTATACCTGTACATTTGTTTTTTCTTGCCTAAATGTAGAACCTTACTTTTTTCACCACTGAATTTCATTTTGTTAGATAGCACCCAAGTCTGTCAAGATCCTTCTGTATCTTAAGCCTATCTTCTGGAGTTTGGCTATTCCTGCCAGCTTGGTGTCGTCTGCAAATTTGATGAGTTCCCCTTCTATCCCCTCATCCAAATCATTGATGAAGATGTTGAAGAGCACTGGGCCCAGAACAGAGCCCTGGGGCAACCAACTACACATTTCCCTCCATGTAGATGCAGGTCCATTGAGGACACACGCTGAGTACAGTCGGTCAGCCAGCTACGAATCCATCTGGTGATGATGCTGTCTAACCCACATTTTTCTATCTTATCAAGTAGTAGGTTGTGATCTACTTTATCAAATGCCTTACTGAAGTCCAAGTAAATTATATCCAAAGTATTCCTCTGGTCCACTAATTTTATCACTTGGTCAAAGAATGCAATAAGATTTGTCTGGTATAATCTGTTTTTGACAAACTCATGTTGGCTTTTGGTAATGACTTTGTTTGTCTCTAGATGTTCACTGATTCATTGCTTGATTATCTTTTCCAGAATCTTCCCAGGTATTAAGGTCAGTTTGATAGGTCTGTAGTTTCCTGGATCCATTTTTTTCCCTTTTTTGAAGATGGGAACTATATCAGCTCTTTTCCAATCCTCTGGTAGTTCCCCAGTGCTTTAGGATCTTTGAAAGATATAGTTCAGTGGTTCTGAGATCACATCTGCCAGTTCTTTCAGAACCTTGGGGTGTAATCCATGTGGTCCTGGTGATTTGAACTTGTCTAGGGTGAACAGGTGCTCACTTATTATTTTCTTGCCTATCTTAACTTGTGTTTTTAATCTGTTTTTTATGGTATTGTTTTTGATAGGTTGGACTGTTTTTTTTCCCTTTGTGTAAAGACGGATGCAAAAAACAAGTTAAGTAGTTCTGCTTTCTCCCTGTTGCTTGTTACCTTCTTGCTACTTTCTCCCACTAATGGACCAATCATTTCCTTAACTTTTTTCTTGTTTTGTTTTTCTTGTTTTTTTCTTAAGTTTTACAACTCTTAAGGTAGATAAACATATAGATTTATCTCAGCTTATTTTGGTAAAAGTGAAAATATCTGTAACGTAAGAAATGCAAATCTTAGCAGTGATGCTTTGTGGAAACATTGACAAAGTTTTCATAGATACTAAAGGAAACTATTCCATCATTCCGTCTAAGCCATCAGAATCGTATTCCCTTTCCTACATATAAAAACAGATCAGGCAGTTCATAAAGGTTGATAAGCCTGAAAT